CAGCTCTCCCAGTGCCAGCTCTCCCAGTGCCCCAGCTCTCCCAGTGCCAGCTCTCCCAGTGCCCCAGCTCTCGCAGTCAGCAGCTCATCGCCAGCATCGTATGCAGGGTCTGCTTGCCCTGCTAAAACTACAATATAAACAAATGGTTGCCCTATTGAGATCGATTATGCTATTGATCTCTTTTTATAAGACTATAAAACAGTAATTTTAAAAGGTGAAGGTGGCAAAAAGGCCATAAAATGGTAAGTTTATCATATTTTTTCCACATAAATGTGTGTGTGCATGCTTTTTAAAAGGAAAACTTAATATACATTTAAAAAGAGACTGTACATCCATTTCTCAGGACGCTCCCTGCGGTTGCTCCTCGGGTGCTCTAAGTATAGGCTGCCTTTTTTTCCCCATTGTGTTTTTCTGATTTTCAAGTCTAGTTTAAGAAGAGAAGAGAGGAAGCTTGAAAAACCAGCATAGGGAACACCGAAGTGCAGATATGTCTTGTTGATGTTAAAACGTAATAAAAGGATACTGGACACAACGCCATGCAAATTAGTTAGATAATCTGTTAGACATAGATTCCTGAGAAAATTTATCCAATGGATAAATTCCACAATTTATCCAATGGACACACAAAGATAGAGAAAATCACAATACTCCTGTATCTGTTTTAAAAAATGAGTCTAGTTAAAAATAATCCCATGAAATAACTTAAGGCTTAGATAGGTTCACCGTGACTTTTATGAAACATTTAAATAAAAAGCCTGGAGAGGCCAAGGTGGGCAGATCACCTGAGGTCAGGAGTTCAAGACCAGCTTGGCCAACACGGTAAAACCCCATCTCTACCAAAAATATTTAAAAAATTGGCCAGGTATGGTGATGTGTGCTTGTAATCCCAGCTACTTGGGAGGCTGAGGCAGGAGAATTGCTTGAACCCAGGAGGTGGAGGTTGCCGTGAGCCAAGATCGTGCCACTGCACTCCAGTCTGGACAACACAGCGAGACTCTATCTCAAAAGAAAAGAAAAAACCAACACATGTCTTGCATACCCTTTTCCAGAGAGCAGAAAAGACAATGACCCTTGACGATTCTGACAACCATCACAGCTCTGAGCCCTCATGGCTCCGATACCCCTCAGAGCTCTGGCCTCTTATGGTTCTGGCCTCACAGCTTCAGCTCGACCCCTCATGGCCTTCACCCCTCACACTCCCACTGCTCACAGCAAGTGACCCCTCAAAGCTCCAGCCCTCCCAGCTCCAGCCAATCCCAGCAGTGACCCCTCCCAGCTCCCACCCCTCCCAACTCCCATCCCTCACAGCGAGTGACCCCTCCCACCTCCGACCCTTCCCAGCTCCAGATCCTCCCAGCTTTGACCCCTCACAGCTCCCACATCTCACAGCGAGTGACCCCTCACGGCTCCCACACCTCATAGCTCCCACCTCTCACAGCGAGTGACCCCTCACAGCGAGTGACCC